ATCCTTTAAGATGCTAATATTTGTTTCTCACACGGGTAGGCACAAAACTGGAAGGCCTTAAATGGTCTCCAGGGTAGTGGGCAGTACCATCAAAGCCAGAGGCTTGAATTAGATTTGCCTCCAGGGAGGGGGAAAAATCTAGTCTCAAATATTCCTGTGACTTTTGTGCTGACCAAGTGTTTATTAATAGAAGTTGAATCCCCAGAGGGTTTTTCTTTTGGTTCACTGGTGAGCTTGAGAGAAATTACAATACCAAGAGTGTGACTGTAAAATAATTATTCACTGTGGCCTGCTGTGCAGAAATTTCTTGGCCCACACCCTCCAACAGCACAGGAAAAGGACTGCATGGAAGTCTAGCCACAGCCTTTGAGCAGGAGTCTGGGGTTATCAGGTAGAGGTAAACCCATAGAGGTTCCTCTGTTGGTGTGGGGCAGAACAACAAAGCCTGGAAACATCATGAATTCTGATCACAGATGCTGGTTATCTCTGTTTTTTCCTTTGTTTGGCTTTTTTGTTTTTGGGTCCCCCATCTACCAAGCTGTTCTTTTGCCAGCCAGCAACTATCTTGGCAGAGTGAACCCTAATTGAAACCCAGGTTTCAACAGTTCTATTCCAGTGATGACATGAGCTTTTCTGTGTTGTTCTGTTGAATACCATAAACACACTTAAAGACGGAAAATGTACTTGAATCACACATGCATTTGAAAAGTGGGGGCGTTTCAGTCCAGATAATAGCTGAAGTTTTTTTTTTTTTTTTGTTTTGTTTTTTTTTTTGCTTTTTACTTCTTTTTTTGTGCAGAGGTCGAGAACTTAGTAATACCGCAGTCCAGGCCAAAACAAACTCTATATGATCTACTACTGATTTCCTTTCAAGTTCCCCTTTTTTGCTAGAACTAACTTCCTTTCATTTTACTCCAACTTGCATTAATCCCAGTTATAGACGTTTCTTTCCTCTCTCACCTCTAACTTCAAACATTTCTTACATAGAAAACAAGTGACTTTTTCTTTAAAAAGATCTACTTAAAAAATAAAAATAAAGGACACTATGACTTTGGGGATAGATTTTGGCAGCCTGCAATTTTAGAGTTCATTTCCGAACAGCAGAGTTAGATGGTTGGAGCTAACATGTCTACGTGACCACTGTCATTTCTCTGAGCCAAACCACCTGCTTATCTGAACTCCTCTGGGAATGAGATGGTCAACACCTCCAGTGGTTATTAAATAATTAAGATGCTTTACTTGCTAGAGGCTGTATGCTCCTTGAAGAGTGCTGCCTCTTACCGTAGGCTTCCATGATGAGAACTCAGTGCTGGCTGATTGCCTGAAGAGATCAGAGCCTTAGCATGCTTGAGCCCAGTATTTTTAGTCTTAGCTCACATTTTGTTCTCTCCCAGCAGCGGTTATTGTCATTGCCATCACTGACTTCCAGCGGGATAGTTGTGCCAGTCAGGCTGACATTGATCTGCTAAGGATTCCAGCCAGCAGTAGGCAGGATGAGGTTTAAGCTATTGTTGGCCTCAGGAAGCCTACTAGTAACCCAGAGATTTTCTAGAAGTCCTTCTCCCTCATCACCTCTCCCTGCTTCAAAAGGTTTGCAGGTTGAATTGTATCAGGACCACTAGAATCACAAAATGTGACTACAACTGGGATCTTGGCACACTGTCTTTAGCTAGCTGAAGAGGGTGTGTTGGTATCTTATGTCTTGTCACTTTCAAGAGATGGTCACAATGATCTCTTCAGCATGTTCTCTTTCAATTCAGACCTTTTCTATTATTTAATACTAATAATACCAGACCAAATAATACTAGACTCTGAGCAACAAAGTCAGTGGATTAAGCCTACCAGCTGTTCCACAAGAGAAGCATGAGGGTTTCTGCTCCCTCAAAGATTTACAGCCTCCCTCAAAGACTTAAACCCTACATAGGGTCGCTATGAGTCAGAACCAACTCTTTGTCACTTAACAGCAACAATTTTCAAAGGAATGTGGAAGGGTAGAAGGCAAGTTAGCCCTAGGTTCTATGATCTTGGATTCATCACTGAACCTTCCTGAATCTCAGTCCTCATTTGATAAATGGGCATTGTAGTTGTGCCCACAGCACAAAGTTGTGAGAAGTAGTGATACTGTATGAAAGTATTGTGCAAAACAGGGATAGGTTAGAAAAAGTAAAATATATCATCTGCAAAGTCTTCAAAGAGCCATTGTGGATACTACTCAGATTTAACCACATTTGAACCTTGCAACACCCCTGTTAGGCTAGACTGAATAAAATATTTACATCTGACAGATAAGAAAATTGAGGTGCATAGAGCTTAATTGATTTGTTTACACTCCCCAAACTTTTAGAGCTGTACTGTCCAATACATGCATAATGCAGGCCATATGTATAATTTAAAATTTCCTAGTAGTCACATAAAGAAGGAGCCATGAAATTACCTTTAAATATTCTATTTAACTCAATATAGAACAAATTTCAAAATAAGACACTAGCCACTTAGCCAGTGCTCAATAGTACCATGTGACTAGTGGCTACTATATTGGATAGTACAGAGCTAGAGCATTTATTAAGTATCCAGTAAGATGATACATGGCGTCCTTGTGTGGCACTATAGAATAAGCACTGGACCTCAAGGTCATTTGAATCTCGAGGTCATTAGTTCAAACTCACCAGTCACTCCTCGGAAACCCTATAGAGAGCCACTGTGAGTCGAGTGGTTACAACTCAGTGTCACCTCATAACAACAAGGTGATATGTGGGTCCTGGTGTGGTGCTGTAAGATTAACACCAGACTGCAAACCACAAGGTTGATGGTTCAAACCCACCATCTGCTCCTCCGAAACCCTATACAGGATCACTATGAGTCAGAACCGGCTCAGTGACACTAAGATGATACACAGGATACACACATATATAAGACATGGACCCTGTATTTGACAAAGTTTGCATTCCAGGAGCTGAAAAAATGTCTTTAAAATATTTTCACTTTGTAATGATGTCTTATAGAGACCCTTAGGAATCAACTGACTATTCTTTAAGTCTGTGAGAAAATTCCTAAATCACAAAGTTAGATATTTAAGAATCATTAACCCACATGTGTAAACTCTGTCACTCATCCTGTTTCCCAGTCCTCTTGAAAATTCTGATGATTTTCTTACTCATATGTGAGGATGAAATAAATTTAAGAAAGACCCCACATCCCAACAGGGCCTAGGAAAATTGTCAACTGGAGCTGAGTGATTTTAGTTGGTGAACAATTTTTTAAAAATTAGTGACAAAAATATAGAGCTGCCTGGGGAATACAATGTCTGTTGGCTGAGATTAATGTCAAGATTAATAAATGGATTGCTTGATGAAAAGGCGCAGGAGAACAAAAACCAGTAGAGATTGTGGAGGAGGCCACTTATTAATGAACTGTCAGCCCAAAGAAAGTTCAAGAAACTTGCCTGTGGTAAATGCAGAAGGCTGGCACTTCTAATAAAAATCGGGGTCCTTCAGGAATTAATTACCCTGGCCTTACAGCAAGAATTCGTGGAATTGCAAAATGCAGTGGCACAGACCAGCACGGGCCACTGCTGCAAATGGGGAAGCTGCAGGAGAAACTATTATTTTTTTTTCATTGATATGTAGGATATTGTAGTAGCATAATAGCCAGTCAGACATGGAGATGAATGATGGTGTCCAGATATACACTGACTAATGAAACTACACATAGTTGGAGTTTGGAAGTCAGTTCACTCTTCATATGCAAAATTCCCTCCTGCAATCTGATTTCCTCCTTATCCTGTGTACCCGCCACCAGGGAGTTCCAAATAATTTTCAGAGTGATTACGTGAGAGTCAGATGGACTGTCCTATGATTTATCAAGCTATGCTGAGAGAGTGAGCATAACATAGTGTTCATTTATTCTGAGTTGCTATAATTTCCCTCTCCCCTCCACACGTTCCTAGTTTGATCGACCTGACAAAATGCTCCTGTTAATTGAAATTTGGTGTTGCTTCTGCCCAATGAAGCAACCCAAAGGAATGTCATGACAAGAGGAAGATTGTCTGGGATTTGTGATCTGATGGTATTGCACATTAAATATTGCAAGCTTATCTTCTTTCATTTTGGCCAGAAGGTGAAATCAAAATTTTCTTCTGGGGTCCCAAACAAACGATTCGTCTCTTGGATCTCAAACTTTATCATTAACCATTTGAGTTCAGGTCTAAATTTACACCCAATTGAACTTTGGTGATTGAGTAGATTTTCATGCTAGTTTTCTAAGAATCAGGTAAGTGCAAAAGGGAGTAAGCAACTTTTGGTTGGTTTACATGGTGCGTTTTCCCCTTCAGAGGCTTAAGGTAAGTGAGTTGATCACCCATTGTTTCTCCTCAAAGAATATTAGAGAACTAGGTTGATATTTTTCAAACCCTCCATTTGATTTGTACCCAGATTATAAAACGTATAACGATTCCTTTAGCTGTGCGTGGAGTTTATCATCTTCTTTCTTCTGCTTGTCACGTACATCCTTGGGTATTAGACCATCCATCACTTCCCACTCCTGGACTTTTCAGACCCTCATAATCCACATGATACTTATCCTTTTGATTAAAACAACTTAATAGTCTTTTCACGAATAATTAATCTGCTGTCTTTTTATTTTCAGCTCCAGGCTTTTAACTTTAATGTTGAGCTATCCAGCCTTTGTTGCCTTTCAAAGATTCACTCCCTTTAGCCTCTTCTCCTCAAAGGTTTAATATCTCTTTAGAAACTTCAGTGTTTGCTATACTGAGACTTTTTTAAAGACTTCCAAATTACTCTCACATCCTCTCTTCTGAGTCTGAAGTGAATAACTGTAAAATCAGTGGGAATGAACTAAAAATAATTTCCGATTCGCATGCTGTCTTATTGGAAAATGTGGAGATATTTTCTATAACGAAAAGTTGAAACTGCATTACTTATGAGAAAGCAAATGCCTTTTGTGTGTGCGTGTGTCTCTAACTCTGAATATTTTTCTAATAGTGACAATTTATACCAAATGACTTCCCAGCTTGAATGCATGACCTGGAATCAGATGAACTTAGGAGCTACATTAAAGGGGTAAGGTCTTCTCTACTCCATTGTCCTTAAACAGTAATCCACACCTGTTTGAATCCTTTTAAAGGTGCTTATAACTTATGAGGAGTCCTGGTGTGGCACTGTGGGTTAATGCGCTGGACTGCAAGGTCAGTTTGAACCTCAAAGTCGGCAGTTCAAGCCCACCATCCGCTCCTCAGAAATCCTATACAGGGTCGCTATGAGTCGGAACCGACTCTATGGCACACAACAACATAAGGTATGAAGAGAGGATAGTTTTAAAAGAATCAGCGTAATTGTAGCATTTAGATGCTTTCTTCCTTCCCCCAATTGATGGATTGCTTTCATATTAAATTTTCATGAGTATCATCAAGAAATTGCTTCTGTCTGGACCAGGGGAATTAGGGGAACACTTAATATGGTCTTTTCTTATTTAATATTTTGGAGTTCTTGAAACTTTTATCCATTCAAACTTTGTTTAGTGTTTGTTTTGCTAGTGATATAACAACAGATGTTAACGGCTACACTATCCTATCAAAGGTAGTCTGGGATCCAAATTCATATTTGAGTGATAGTGATTTGGACAAGCCAAATTTAGACATGCTGTCATACCTAACGTGGTCATGCCAACAGGCTTTCTTCACACTTAATTTACAGTCATAATAAGGGAGAATCCAGCTATCAAACATAGGTAGGGACAACTCTTCCCATCTGAAAAAGAAAAAAAAGGCAAGCAGGTGGGAATTGCTTTCAATAGTGAAATAATTAATTTTTAGTGTTCCAATAAATCTGAAGACACAGGAAATGGGACATACGCTCCTGAAGGAGTACCTTCTGTATATGATGTGCTTTTTTTAGGTTACCTCAGTTAATCTTCCAAATATTCTGAGGCCTGGTACTCTTAACCTAGTAAATGAAGCTGAGAGAATTAAACAACATCCCAAGCTCACATAGCTAGCAGGTGTCAGAGCTGGGACTCAGACTCATACTGAATTTCAAAGCCCGAGCTCTTTCCAGCTCCCCTGCAGTGCCTTTCACCCCACCATCGGTACCACTTTTGACTAGACACATAGCTTCACATCTCTGTGTGTTTACTGTCCTCTCATAGGATTCTGGGGCCCTGGGGGGCTTGCCAGAGCCTGCATGTCCCATTCCCCATTCCCCGCCTCTTCTTCTCTTCTAGAGTTGCTGCTGGAAGCTCCAGCTCAGTGAAATGGACAGAAGGGCAGAGCAAGTGAGTGGACAAGGCGGTGATGGCAGAACACATGACCTAGGCCATGTTGACTGGCACCTGGGCAGGAGTTAGGGCTGACAGTGGGTAATCAGGGTAGCAGTTGGTGCCACTGGGATGGAAATCTATCCAGCTCCTCCTCTCTCCCTCTCTTTCCCTCTTCTTTTGTTTATCTTAGATCTGTGGTAGGAGAAAAGGGAGGTGGTGACATTTATCATCAGCATAAACTTGGAAAACAATTTAAAATCATCAGTGCTCCTTCCCTCATGAATGTATCACAAAATAACTAAATTTGCGACCTTGCATATGCTCCTGTGAGATCATTCAAGTCTTGTTGTCAGCCTGCTTACCTTTTTCTCTATTTACCTTTAGTAGATTATTAAGGAACCTCTTAATTTTTACCTGAAATCCATGGCTAAGTTTTGTAAATATATATATATTTTTTAATTCCCAAATAATTGGTTCTTTTTTTCAGCTCTAGGGCCTGCATCTGAGACATTTCTCTAGCTATTTCTCTTGATTTCATTTTCTCTTCTTAAATCTCCAAGTCCAGTCTCCCCGTTTTTTCCCTTCTTTCTTTAGTTTGTCAGTCCTGACTTTTGATTCATCGTTTTCTGTTCAGCAGAGTTGTTTTTCATCTTCTAAGACTTGCTAGAAGATCCTCCTCTCCAAAACCACCATACCCAGATTTCCTTGCTATTTTATTATCCAAACCTCTACTTCTTCTCCCTGGGCCTAAATATAGAAAGACTTCCAAAGTTGCTTTGAATTGTTTCTCTCCCCACTTCGTCTGAGGGGCTGCTGACAATTTCTGCATCCTATTTTTCTACCTGCTCTCAGCTCGTTTTATTCTTCTTTTCTTCTTGGCTCTGCCCTGTCTTCCCGAGTCCTCTTTTTTTTTTCTTTCTCCTCTACTCAGAGCTTAGTAACTCTCCAAATGAAATGCCAAGAATAGACAGAGCATGATTGTGAAGTGAACAGCACGTTTCAATTTTTTTAATTTCTTCATGCTGGAGGACAGGAGTTAACTTGTTTTTGTAATCACAAAAATTAAAGATAAAGGAATCTTGGTGTGTACTTGAATCTGGGTCTTTCCATACTTGAGATAAATTTTGATACCTTTTAAGATCTTTAGATAGGTGATACTAGTCACTTGCTGGGAAGTCAGAAGCCATATTGTAAGGGTGAGTGAAGCACAAAATTTGATTAATTTATTTTGTACCACCCTGTATAAGAGAGAGAGAGAGAAAAAAAAAACAACCACAAATTAGAAGAGTTTTCATTGTGCTGTTGCTTATATGTTGAAAAAGGATTTCTGAAATTAAAATGCAGTTCTTGAATATTGATTTCGTTCAAAAAGCCATATTAAAAGGATCAAACAAACTCTATAGAAGAAAAACTCTCTGAAGAGCAGAAACTTGCCAATTTCTAAGTCCTGGTGTGGCGCTGTGTGTTAATGTGCTGGACTGCAAAGTCATTTGGACCACAGAGTCAGTGGTTCAAGCTCACCAGCTGCTCCTTGGAAACCCAATACAGGGTCGCTATGGGTCAGAATCAACTCGATGACACTTAACAACAATAATTTGGTAACATCTTCTCACACAATGAATTTCTCTCTTTAGAACATACTGTAAGTCAACTAATTTCTGCTTCCATTTTGTCAACTGAACATGTATCTAAGGAGAAATGTGAATATTATTGGACCTTGTTCTAATAAAAACCCCACATATACTATGGTCAAGTCCAGTTTTCAGATGAGGAGACTTAACTTAAGCCACTTAACCAAGGTCGTGTAGCAATTAAGTGGCAGACACATATTGGAATCCACTTTTGTCTGATTTCAAGACATGGGGGTGGTGGTAGCAGTGATGGTCATTGTGTGTCTCTGAGTCAGTTGTGAGCCCGTATAGTCTCTCTGAAGCTGTAAGTCTTTACGGGAGGAGAAAGCCTCATCTTTCTCTTAAGGAGTATTTGGTAGATTTGAACCACTTGACCTTGTTAACCTAGGTTAGCGTTTCTTAAACTTTTTAGATTATGACCCACAGTTAGAAATACCCTTTATACCGAGACCCAATATACACACATGCATACTGTTGTAGAGAAAAAAAAAAACTACAAGTCTTTTTGAAATTACGAATAAGGGATTTATTAAGACAAACTGGGGAAAACACAGTGTTTTGCAAAATGGGGAAACAGAGTCAAGATGTTCTTCAGAAAGTGCTCTGAGGAGCTATAGAGTTAGAGAAATTAATAAAGACAAAAACTGTAAGCAAGGGATATACAGTTGGAGTATTTTTTTTTTTCCCCCCTCTGGTTGGAGTATTTTTGATAGGTTAACATTTAAAAGTTTAACGTGTCAGGGTCTTGGTCGACTGCTAAACGCACATTTCCTAGTGTCTGGACGTGTGTGATCTGGGTTAAACTGAGTGGCTTTAGCATTGTGACTATGAGTTCTGCTGAACTATAAAAGCAGAGTTTGTTGAAGGAATAGGATGGCTACAAGTAAAAATATTAAGTATTTTAATGCTCAAAGAGAGAAAAAGTGTTTTAATAGAGAAACTTTGTCTTTATTTAACATCAGCTTATTTTAATTATAAATTGGTTTAGTAAGACCAAAGCTTTGGAAATTTAAGTAGAGCTAAGGGAGTTGAATTGGCTTAGCTGCTGAAGTCACCTGCTTAATGCAATGTTTTAACAACTGTACAAGTTGAATAATCTTCTCTTAACATTAGATGCTTCTAACTACAATTTCATCTATAAGTAGAGAAGGGTGGGCAAGCCGCATTTTTTTTGTAGAAACCGCTTGTATATGTAGGTTAAAGATACAGTGGTGGTGGTGATGGTGATGTGCCCTGGAGTTGGGTGCGACTCATAGCAACCCTGTACAGGGTTTCCAAGGTACAGTGGGAAGTTTTTATAGAAGTGACAGTCAGTACTGTAAGACAGAAAAGTACGTAATGAAGTCACTTAGGACAGGGAAGGATTTGGCCTAGACCTCAGCCCGAAGTTTCAGTCATGTCAAGAGACTTTGTTTTAGAATGTTCTTTCTCAATTCACACACAACACTAACAGATTTTTATGAGACCATATTTTACTACATGCTCTACACACTGGTATTTCCTACCCTATTCTGTCATTTTGAAAATTGCTGATCGTCATGTACTGAATCGATCTTACAACCCATTGATGGATTCACAGTTTGCCTCTTGTAGTTCTTAAACATGGTGACTACCCAGTTTTCTCCTCTAGGCCCACGAGCAGCCAAGAAATGGATTTAGTTGAACTGAAAGTTTGTCTTACACCAGAGTGGTGAAATACATGTTTACTTAAATTCACTTTTTTTCCCCCAGTGGGGGAAACACATTTTAAGTAGGAGTCATTATTCGCTATGATACAGAATTTACTTTCTTTAACCATGGTACAAAAACGCTGTTAATCTGGAAAACATCTTTGAGAAAAGATATGCCAAGGCGAAAGGTAAGAAAAAGAAAGGTTTTTTTTTCATTTAATCACTTGTGTCGTGTCTTAATACTACCTGAAATCAATGGTAAGAAAAACCATGGTGACAAGGTAGCACAGATCTATAACAGGAAAACTGTCGATCTGTCTGTACTGTAAGACAGAAAAGTACATAATGGAGTCACTTAGGACAGGGAAGGATTTGACCTAGATTTGGTAACGTCTTCTCACACAGTGAATTTCTCTCTTTAGAACATACTGCAAGTCAACTAATTTCTGCTTCCATTTTGTCAACTGAACATGTATCTAAGGAGAAACGTGAATCTTATTGGACCTTGTTCTCACAACAACCCCACGTATGCTATGGTTAAGTCCAGTTTTCAGATGACAAGACTTAATTTAAGCCACTCAACCAAGGAAAAGGATTTACAGAAAGTAAATCCTGTATCATAGAGAATAATGACTCCTACTTAAACTGGTTTGGAAAAAGATACCATTTTTATTGCCAATTGCCATTGAGTAGGTTCCGACTCATAGTGATACTGTATACGATTTTGGAGGAGCAGCTGGGGGGTTTGAACTGCCAACCTTGTGAGTTAGCCATCCAGTACTTATCCTACAGTGACACACCAGTACTCATATTATTCATAAAAATGAGGCATTTTTAGTGTTTTTTTTTTTTTAATGAAAAGATCACGTACATCAGACTAAACCCCATGGAATATTTGTTCCTGTCTTCTTTCCTTGTAAATGTTACGTTAGACAAAGATGGACCCACAAAGAGTAGACTTATTTCCTGGTGTCCTAAATCACTTCATAGAGACACACATAGTCCATTTGGTATCAGAGAGCAGTGCTACAAAGGATGAGGACAGGGTTTTAAGGAAGCATAGGCAAGATGAAATAAAAACATAATATAATGGTTCTGTTCTTATTTCACTCTCCTCCTTTCTCCTTTTACTCACATTTTAATCTCTGCCTGCCTGTTGAGATCACGGCTACTTTTCTGACCTCAAATAGAAAGTTGTTTTTGTTTTTTTTTCAGTATAAGTCAAAACGAGAAGGTATTTCATAAAATCACTTTCTACTACTGTTACTGTGCCCATCACTCCCAGACAAATGATAGTATTTAAGCAGGTTCCTAGGCAAAAATTATACAGGGAAATTTTTTCTACACATGAGTCCACCATTATGTATATTTTGTATATATCTATTTGTGATGCTTTGCATTATCTGTTTTGTATTTCTTTAAAAAACATCTTATGTGTGTTCTTAAAGGCTGCTGATTTCTTAAGGCTGCTAACAAGCCTTGGTTACTGTAAGCCTCTGTTTTGTCTCTTCTGAAGAAAATATCCTGCAAATTGGAGAAACATATCAACCTTGACTTTGGTCCAAGTTACTAAAACAAGGAAGAAGTTATTTATTCCCTGGGGAGTTGGGTAGGGGGAGTGGGAAATCGAACACAATAGAAATGTAAAAGGAGTGCTGAGCAAAATGAAGGTCCCTCTGCTGGTCCAAGGAGTTCACAGACTTTTGGGAACACA